AGCTTGATATGTTAGCTTCCATTGCCACCGCTGTTATCAGCTAATGGTGTGTTCGCTTTCTCCTCGGAAATTCTAACTTCCCAGTAGGAAAAATCAAATGAAAAAAGACGGCAAAAGGAATGAAGATACACAGTAAATTTAGTTCACATTAAAGATGTTTGCTTCAGTTTAATTATCAGCTTGTAAAACTACAAGGACGATGTTAAAATACAAACTGTTGTATGTTATTTATCGTGATATTTATCAAATATGGTTATATATTGAGAAAAATATATACTTAATTATAAAAGAGAATTAAAAATATTAAACACTCAAAAGTATCGAAAATTGGTACCGTTAAGTACCGGTATCGATTCGTAGGTACCGGGAATTAGTACCGGATCGATTCAAATGTCAAAGGTACCCATCCCTAGATTTAGCCTCTAAATGCTCCTGGTGCATTTAGGTGTGTTTGGTGTGTTTTTATCTGTATTATAATCAACGACATCCTAAAGCTAGTGCTATTCACACATCCAAAATGGCTGCCAGTCTAGAGCTTTGGTGATTTGATGACATCAATGAAAGCTCTGTGCTGTTGTGGTTTGGTAAAACAACAAAACATTCCTTAGAGATGATGCTTTTCCAGAATTTTCCGTCTCTGGTTTGGCTCCTCTTCTTACAGCAGTGGGTGCAGTTTGGATTCATTTTGCCCTGCAGCAGAGCTTTATACATTTACAGTGTGTGTGTGTGTGTGTGTGTGTGTTTGCGTGCGTGCTGGAGCCCTCTGTGACCAGCTAATCTTTCCTCGTCAGCGTGTTTGTTCTCTCTCAGCGAGCTCTGTTTGTTATCTGAACACAGCTGTGAGGAAAGGAAGGAAAAAAGGTGGGTGTGTTCTGGGTGTGTGTGTGTGAGAGGGATTTGTTGTGTGCATGTGAGACTTGATGAGAGAGAAAATGCTACATAAGTCAACAGTTGTCATGTGGGTGAGTGTATGTGGTGGTCCTGCTGGCTGGTGTAGTCGCCTGAGCATGATGCCATTTGGTATGCAAGCTGGTGTGTGTGTGTGTGTGTGTGTGTGTGTGTGTGTGTGAGCGCGCGCGCGCGTGTGTGTGTGTGCAACTGCAAGGATGTATAAGTTAACAGCCACACACACACTAGACGGGACCCAGTGTTTCTGTGGGTCGGTGGACTGGTCAATAGTAGCTAGGGCTGCAGCTAATAATTGTTTGGATAATTGAGTAGTTTTTATTATTTCTGATTAGCTACCGATTGTTTCAGTTGATGCCTGGTACTTGTGGGTCCACCTCCTGTTCAGGGCTCCAGTGCTGCACAACACCGTGACAGCCTAGCTATACTCACTAAGACGTATAAACGATTGCAGCATCACAGCTTCAGGTGTGTCTGTGAGCCCAATCTTCTTCTTATATATATTTTTTTCATTTGCTTTTCCCAGTTCGGGGGTCTCAGTCCTAGCAGAGAGACCCAGAACATACTTTCCCCATCAACCTCCTCCAGCTCCACCAGTGGATCTCAGGGGCTTCCCTGGCCAACGTGTCCTGTGTCAAGGAAACTCATTTCAGATGCTTTTATTTGTGACCTAGCTTCTTGTGGTTATTACACAATGCTCATGACCAGGTGAGGATAGCAGTAAGGATGTGGCAGTGAGGTGGTTAGAGCCCCAGCTGCAGCTTTTCTATGTGGAGTCAGCATCTTCTCAGCATGCATGTGTGGGTTTCCTTCGGGTGCCCCAGCTTCCTCCTACAGACCAAGCACATGCATGTCAGGTTGATTGGAGACTTTTAAGTTGTCCCTAGGTGTGAGTGAGTGTGACTAGATGTCTCTATGTGTCCCTGCGATGGACTTGAGACCTGACCTTTGTGTCCCCCACCTCTCAGCTGGCAGAGCTAGACACCAGCTCCCCGTGGACCGAGTGAGGGTCATATAGGTAACGATCCATACATGGTTCTTTGTGGATGGAGCTGCCATTAGCAAACTTTAATTGTGTTGCACCAACAATAAATTACGTGTCATTTAGCTATACTAAAGTTCAACTTTTTGTCACTTATGCCTGCTGAACCACAGTATAAAATACGTATTTTAGTTTGGCATATTTTATTACAAAGCTGGTATTTATTCCTATATAATTCCTGGCTATATTAGTACATGTGTTTGTAGACTTGGAGAAGGCGTTCGACCGCATCCATCAGGGGCGCCCTGGGGCGGGATACCCTGGGAGTGTGGGGTACCAGACCCTCTGATACGGGCTGCTAGGTCCCTGCATGACCGGTGCCAGAGCTTGGTCATCATTGCCAGCAGTGAGTCAGGCTCAGGTGAGAGTTGGACTCCGCCAAGGCTGCCCTTTGTCACCGATTCTGTTCAGAACTTTTATGGACAGGATTTCTAGGCACCACCAAGGTGTTGAGAGGATCTGTTTTGGTGGCCTAAAGATCATGTCTGCTTTTTGCAGATGATGTGGTCCTGTTGACTTCATCGGACAGTGATCTCCAGCTTTCACTAGAGTTGTTCGCAGCCGAGTGCGAAGCAGCTTGGATGAGAATCAGCTCCTCTAAACCTCAGACCGTGGTCTTAAGTTGGAAAAGGGCAGAACGTATTCTTCGGGGCAGGGATGAGATTCTGCCTCTAGGGGAGGAGTTTAAATATCTTGGGGTCTTGTTCACGAGTGAGGGAAAGATGGAGCACGAGATCGATAGACAGATTGGTGCTGCATCTGCAGGGATGTGGGTGTTGTAGTGACTGAAAAAATGAGATTGCGAGTGCAAGCGGCCAAAGTGAGTTTTCTCTGCAGGTTGGTGGTGAGGTTTTCTGGGCACATCCAACCAGGATGAGACCTAAAGGAAGACCCAGGACTTGCTGGAGGGATTTGTCTCTCAGCTGGCCAGGGAACATCTTGGAGTTCCCCCGGAGGAGCTGGCCCAAGTGGCTGGAGAGAGGGCCCCTCCGCTTAGGGTGCTGCCCCCACGACCAGACTCCGGATAGGCGCACAAAAATGGATGGATTGAACTTTTTTGGTTTCTGTGTGGAAAAATCATTTCGTGGTTTATTTTCAGTTGATGCTCGTTTTAGTGCCAGTGCACCAGGAAGTGACGGCTTGTTACCAGGAAGTAGTAATAACCCCACTCCCTGATAACTCTATCTGATCCAATCAGCGCTAAGTAGCTTATGTAACACACCGCAACGCTCAGTGTGTCATACACATCGAAGACTGAAGCGGAGTTCTCTGCTACTCATTCCTCTGCTCTAAGTGACTTGGGCACGTCTTTGAAACCACAACAAGTCGAAGTGCTAAACACTTTTTTCTAAAGAAAGAAGTCTGAACCACCGCCAGACGCCATCTTTGACTACAGCTAAATAAGTACAGCATCGTCATTCCTGCCTTTTTTTCATTGGTTATTTTTGAGTTGACAAGTCCCGCCCCTCATGGTGCTCTCTTGAGTGTCCAGACTCGTCCTCTGTGTAGAATAGATAGAGAGTGAGTCTGACAGGCCAGGCTACACGGGTACAGAGCACTTTCATCCATGTCGTTCTGTGGTCTGACGTTTATTTCCTAGAGGGGCTTGTAGGTGGATGTATTTACCTCTACACATTCACACTTTAGCTTGATGCAATTTGCTGGGTTCCTTATATAGGAAACATTTCTGATTGGCTTAATGAACTGTGAATTGGAATGTTTATTATGTGAAGTGCCTTGAGACGACTCTTGTCGTGATTTGGCGCTATATAAATAAACTTGAATTGAATTGAATTGAATTTTTACTTCTCTGTTATTTCAGCGACCATTTCTGGAATTTCTGATTTTAACAGAAGGGAAGCAACATTTTTATCCACATCTGTCTCAGTTAATCACTGTATTTGAAGTTTATATATTATAAACTGGGGCCTGTTGATTGAATGCAAGCAGCAGAAGTCTGTTGTCCATGGTGGACTTTTGCTTTGCTCCTTTCTGCCTGCAGGCCCTCAGATGATGAAGCTGCACCTGAGTGTTCCTGTGTGTGGCTCTTCCACTGCCGAGTTTAAAGCTTAAGCTTGTTATCTGAGCCAGAATTAACCAGAGCTTAGCTTGGGTGAAGAATTAAGCAGTGAGGGAAACAAGATTCAAGATCATTTTGTTGTCATTGCACAGGCGTACAACAAAATTGACTCTGCGGTCACTAAAGACAGCCAAAAAAAAGCTGAGGTGATTAAAAGCATCGCTGAAGGAGCAGCTGTGGGATTTTAACAAGTTGTGCTTTTGTTGTGTGTTTTTCTGCTCTGTGGTGATGCGGCTTGTATGAGGGACCGCTTTAAGGTCACGCCTTCGTCATCAATGGTGTTTATTAAAACATCATCAGATTATCAGAGACTCTGTTAGCTTCACATTCAGACCGAACTATCAGATTAACACCGCTTCGCTTAGGATGGTAGAGCTTTTGTCTGCAACACACACACACACACACACACACACACAAACACACAAACACACACACACACACACACACACACACACACACACACACACACACACACACACACAGCTGCTGTGAAGACATTAAAACCACAGAGGAAGCAAAGACACTTTACTGTGTGTTCACAACCAACCATGGATCTCTATAAAGCTGTGTGTGTGTGTGTGTGTGTGTGTGTGTGTGTGTGTGTGTGTGTGTGTGTGTGTGTGTGTGTGTGTGTGTGTGTGTGTGTGTGTGTGTGTGTGTGTGTGTGTGTGTGTGTGTGTGTGTGTGTGTGTGTGTGTGTGTGTGTGTCTTGTCACCATGACTGTTGAGTTCTGAAGGCCGAGAGGGGGAGAAGTTAGGTGAACTTAGATGTTTCCCAGTACTTTCCTCTCTGAGAGTTGGACCTAAATCCTGGAGCCAGTCCAGCGGCGGAGAGGGAGTCCCTTTGTTTCCTCCCATCCTGTACAATAAGCAGCACTTCCTAACAGACAGGCCACTCTGCATCATTATTTCTTTGTGGGTGACGATCACATGTCTCTGAGGCTGACTCGGTGTCTTCCTGTTTCTCTGTAGATCCACCGAGACGGAGAAGCGTCGTTCCATCGGCCCTGCAGCCCTCACCACTCAGGTAAGCTGTTTCTGCTCTGGTCTCTGCTGGAGAAGTGGACATTGTTCTAGTCTCGTGTCCTGCTCGTGAGTGTTTGTGTTGTTTTTGTTAGTGTGAGCCCTCTGTCAGCAGTGACTTGTTGCTGTGGGTCGTTTACGTTGTCATCTAAAGCAGCAGCTAACTGACGTTTGACCTTCATACCTCTCTAAGAGTTTGTTATTATTGACAACAATGAAACATGTCGTTACCATATGCTAGCATTTTTGGACTTGACATCTCAGGAACATACCTGTGTGTTTGGTCAGCTTCATAAAAAGAAACTTCCTGATTTTCAGAAACGAACTCACCGTATGATTGATTTTCTCCGTTCATGTTGTCGTTAGTTTGTTCTTGGTGAGAGGAAACATGTTGAGCTCAGTGTGGTGTTTGGCTGTGGCTGCAGGCCAGAAGGATCGGGAGGATGCAGGTTGTTGGGGGGTGTTGACCAATATTTGTTTTTCAGTTGCCAATACCGGTTTTGGTCATTTGGGGGACACAGTCAGTCGTTTGTTGATTTCTAGGCATTTTCCACCTTATTGTCATGCTAAAATGACACTAATAACATCAGTTGATGCACAAAATGTCTGAAGCTGAATCTGTTTTTGAACTCTGAATTTAACTAACTGTTAAATCTTAAGTTTGTGCACTGCTCAGTGTTAAGGTCAGACACCCAAATAGAGGTAATGTAAAGTATTTCTTATGCAGACGTTTTTAATGAACGTAAAAATACATTTAAATGAAATTTTGCTACAGTACAGGGCTGTCTGAGAATGTGCCTGACGTTAAATCAGCTTTACTAAGGACAGCTATCGTCCGATGCCGATATATAAAAACACGTACATATCAGCTCGGTATATCGGTCTACCTCTAGTGTGTGTATCAGTAAAACCCGTCCAGTGGTTCATGAGATGTTTCTGTTTAAAACCTTCAATGACCACTGATGTGTAAAGCCTTTGGTGTTGTTTGTCGTTGTTTACTGTTGACCTTGTTTTAGCCGTAAGCTCTGTGCTGACCGAGTTTACCTGTAAAACTCACATCCTGTCTGGTTTTGGGTGTAATGTTAGCTTCAGATTAAAGCCCCTGTAGTCTGAACCAAGATCCAGAAGCTCCACTATTCAGTTCAACAGAAAATACCAATCCTCTTTATACCTGTGGGTTTTAGGCACCAGGCCATAAAAAAACATCCCATCAACAGGTTATTACCTCTGATCACACCCTCCCTAACGATCAGATGTGTGAACATGTTCATGGGAGGAAAGGCCGTATTAGCGAGCTGCATTAAGGCTCCAGAAGGATCAGCTGCACAAGCTGCAGGCTTCAGTTAGCATGTTGAAAGTTACGCGACATGACAACACAGTTAACAAAGTGCTGTTGCGTTTCGGCTCAGGCTTTGTTAAATATAGACAAATGTCCCGTGTTACTGTGCAGCTCCAGGTTATACACGTCTGCTGATGCTGCTGCAGGTGAGCTGATGCAACATTAACACCATCTGTGTCTGGAGCTCAGAGAACAGCTAATTGTTGCTGTGTGATCATACTTGTGTCAGCACACCAGTCCTAAAATAATCAACATCAGCCCTCATCTTTACATAAAAGGTGTCAGACAAACTCATCAGTGTGTCGAGCCAAGGAAGGGGGGAGATCAAGAGGAAAGGGGAGGAAAGAGCTGAGGGGAGTGTTGAGCAGACGTATCATGGAGAGAAGGGTAAGGGTGGATTTCCCCTGCAGCATCGAGATGACATCACTTCCTGTCTGGGGTAAATGGCTCCCTCTGCTTCTCTTTAGCAGCAGCAGAAGCTGCAGCAGGAAACTAGAAGTGGTGGGCCAGCCCCAGATCGTCTCCTCTTTACCACAACAAGAAAAGTGACCTACTGAGTACCGCTGCTCTACGTTGTCCCTAGGAGTGAGTGTGATTGTCTCTAAGTGTCCCAGTGATGGACTGGAGACAGCTCAGACCATCTCCCCATTCCCATCCTGGATGAGGATTCTACCTTTTACTGGTCAGGGTCCTGTTGACCTTGTTTGTCATCTTAAATAAAATTAGAGTTCAGGACAAACGTTCAAGTTTGGTGACAAAGTCTGGTCCTGGTCTGCTTCGTGCGTCTCATCTGTTGTTCAGCGGGGTTGTGTGTTTGTGGTGTAGTGTGAATCTGGACCAGCCTCCCTTGGTGCTCCAATACTGGTTGTACTTGTTGGAGCTGAGTGTGGCTGCTTATCGGTGTGCTTGTGGTTTCCATGCTGCTGGTTCAGAGTGCTGATGGGGACGTTGTGTCACATGTTCTTCGTGCTGCTTCTGGGTGCTGTTCAGCGCAGCGTAGCTCAAAAACTTTATTTATGTAGGCAACAATGCCAGCTGTGTCCAAGACTCAAGGAAACATGCAACACCGTGTAAACAAACGTTTCCAGGGTAGGTTTATAAGAAACATTTGCAGCATGTTGACCAAACTACATTCAGTCAATAAATAGTCAAACTGACAGCAAATGTTTGTTTTACCTTTAATCCAGCTGCAGAGGTGAGTCTGGGAACTGATTCAGTCACACAAACAAACAAACAAACAACCACCAGTCAGTGCTGAAGGAAACTCAACACACAGGAACCTGCACATTGGGTGTGACGAGCTGTGCAGGAGAACGTTGGCGGACATCAGGAAAACACATCATTTCATCTGAACTTGTGTAACACATCAGCTTATGTTCAACCAATCACTGCTTTTGTTTATTTAACCAGGACGGCCGGACCACGTTATTGGTTTGAATCTTCTGCTTTTATCTAACTACGTTTTCATTTCAACTCTTCCAGTGCAGCGTAAACGAGAGGAAAAGCCTGAAGACTTACATGATGTTTACATTATTTACAGGACTCGAGTTCTTGTCTGATTCTGAAACAAAAAGAGCAAAAACGTGAAATCTGTCAGGGGAAAGTACCTTTTCACATCTCTGTACACACAAGTCATCAGAGTACTTCACCCTGATGTGATGTCACTAATAATTATAACAATGTAATGCATAAATAAATATTTAATCTAATGTAGGGCTCACAGCTGATTGTCATTCAGCAGTCATCTCTATCACCCAGTGTGTGTGTGTGTGTGTGTGTGTGTGTGTGTGTGTGTGTGTGTGTGTGCGCACAACAGAGGGAGGAAGACAACTGTCAAAGCTCTCAGTCCCCTGCTAGTTTTGGTGGACAGGTGTGAGTGGGCGGAGTCTGTGACAAACACACAGCATCTCTGCGTGGAGTTGCGTGTTCTCCCCATGCATGCGTGGGTTTCCTCCGGTATTCCGGTTTCCCCCACAGATCACAACACGCCCTTCAGGTTAACAGTTGTATGTCGCTTTGGATAAAAGCCTCTTCTCCTGTCTGATGCAGGACGTTGGTGGAGTTCTTGTCTTTATGAGGAGCCGGGCTGGCTGCTGAAGAACTTCTCATTTCTTCACCAACAGCAGTGGTCACTTCTGCTGCTGTTGGATAAACGATTAGAATCGTGTCAGAAAAACATTTCTGGCAGCAGCTTTTGTTTTATGTCTTTATTCTTTTCCTCCTAATTAAGAGGGTTTTCTTACCGTAATAAACACATTGTCTTGTATTAGCTCATCTGTTGTTGTTTTTGACCAGACGCTCTTCTCGTCGCTGAGTTTATTTGCTTGAACTGGTTTTCTAAGCTCACTCAAACCAACAAGCCGTACTTCCATCCTAAAACAGCTCAAATCTCCCAAGTTTCCTGGTGTCTGATGCAAATGGAATTCAGTTCTGTTTTTGTTTGGTTTACAAGTGTAATTATACCCCGCAGCAGGATGCAGCACAGATGCATCATGGGAACAAATCCAGATAACTTGTGCAAAGTTCATTTTAACATTTGTGTGAGTCCAGATGAAGGGGTTTAGGACGGCAGTGACTGACGTTCGACGTCACGCCAAACACTTGAACTCACCATCCGAAGCAGGTTTCTGCTGTCTGATAACAGCTTTTATCTTGTATCCATGTCAGCCGATGCTAAAGTGTCTCTCTAAACCTTTACACAGCCCTCAGTTTTACACACACTAGCCCTGTTCTGCTGGGCCTGGCCCCGGGGTGCAGCGATGGGACACACGTAGCTGCGTCTGAAATAGTTAAGCCTGAATGTTTAAAGTGAAACTGATGGTGATGTAAAGATTTATGAAAGATTGTTTATGTGATCTGCTTTTTGTACACAGGAGAGGTCTAGGCAAAGCTCAGACTAGCTGTTGGCTCAGCTATTTCTCCAAACTAAGGCCATTCCAGAGTTCTTCTGGGACAGGGAGGACAGCATTTATTCAGATGTTCCTAAAGAGTGGCTGAAACATCCTTATTGTCGTGTTATGGATGCATGGTGCCTCGTTTTCTTCTCTGTATGCCATCACTGACCCTTGGGTGTTCGCCTCCTCATTTACCACAGCTAGCTCTCTTTAAGCACCAGCTCACATGTATTTACTGAAGCTGCTACTTCCTGTTCTCATCACTGTGTTGAATGCAGAATGTTCCTCTGGGATGAAGAGAAACTTCCTCTTTTCAGGCTGAAATAGACATCGAGGATAAGGCAAACCTACGGACTGGGTGGAGGGTCTCATCCAGCTGTTTCTGGCAGCTGGCTAAAGAAAGCCCACAGCCTTCCTCCTCTAGCCCAACCTGGGATATTATGGTACATGTCCTTACATGTACAGAAACCTGTAACCCCCGCCCAGAGCCGAGCGGCTATGAAGCTCAGAGCTGCGTTCAGTCTTTAGATGCCCTTGTTTGTTATTCTGTAGGGGGTGAGATAATGGGGGCGGAGCTGGGACGTGCCTTGCTGTGGGCCGCTGGTGGAAATCTGCTCGGGTTTAACAGCAATGAACTTTATGGTGAGAGCAGCAGCACTGAGTCAGATTCAGGTGGGAAAGTGGAAACTTGTGTGGTCACCGTGCCCCGAACACCC